CGCCCCCAGGAGAAATTCACGTTTCACATTCGACAGATTTTTTTAATGGAACTTAAATGAAAACCAAAACATTTTCCAGTACATGAAATGTAGGGGAATATACAATTAGCTAGGAAAACAAAGGAAAACTGCAGTTTACATCAGTTTTTAAGGAAAGCTATTGTATTGCAGATTTTTTTTTGTTGTGCAAAACTGCACAGGGAATTCACAAAAAAGGGAACAAATTCAAGCAAATAAAATATTAAATTTTATTATTTAAATGAGCGATGCAGCGACTCCGCCCCAACTTCTGGCCCACTCGTTGTAACACCCACATAGCACTCCCATCTCCATGGCCTCTTCTCGTAAGAAAAGTTAAGTTTTTCAGCGAAAAGATGGTGGAAAAATTCTGTTTCAAAGGGCGACAATCTCAAGTGGAAGAAAAATAAAGAAGTGAGAAACGAGATTCCTTTGCTGTAGAGAGGGAGATAGGGAGGAAGTGGAGGATACAGAAATAGAAGTAACATTCTATTATTAACAATGCCATCCGCCCGTCCGGCGTCTCACGTTCCGGCAGGCTGGCGGGCGGGCGGGCAGGCAGGCAGCCAAGAATGCTGCTGCAAGGAGGAGGATCCTGCCACTCTATAAACAGCTACAGACGCCAATGAGTATGGTGATTTTCAGGCAGCAGGAGGAACGAGGCTAAGAGGAGTAGCAGGAGGACTGGGACTGGGACTGGGACTAGGACTAGGAGCATCGTGGACAAGGACCATCCATGACTGACAATAAGAAGAGCAATATGAAACAATGGCTGCAACAATGGATGACTGCGACAGACAGGCCGGACGGAACGTAACGGAAAGGAACGAGAAATGGCAGGACGACGTCATCATCTTCAACAAAGTGTTGACATCTTTTTGTCATTGTGTGCCATTGTGTGTGTGTGTAACGCCATGCCGGAGTTCATCCATCCATTCAACTGACGCTGCTGCTGCAGGTCCTTCCAGCAGCCAACAATCCTTGACTAACGCTATTCGTCCTTTTTAATTAATTTCACTTACTGCAGTGTCTGTCATTCTCTCACTCGCCCTCTCCCACTCTCCCTCTCTCTCTCTCTCTCTCTCTCTCCCTGTCAGTGCTGTCAATGTGGCAGGGTCCAGTTCATGCCTCACGCCTGCCGTCGCCCCCGCCTCAATGGCCCTTCTTCTTTTTGGAGTTTTCTTCATAAATTTATAAGCGTCACGTTGTTGCCACTCGCACATACTCGTATTTCCCACCTGCCTTACCCCACCCTCCTGCACACGTGCCTCACCTGTGTGCCCCAGATAGACACAAGACAGACAGGCAGGACCCACCTCTGTATGCCACACAGCAAGCAAAATGAAGAGATCAGACAGAGAGTGGTGTAGCAGACGACACAGATACAGACACAGATACATATTCAGATACAAGAGACAGCAAATCACTTATGCAAATTGGCTAAGAATATTTCCGAATATTTCCAGGTTTTCCAGACAGAGCAATGGGGTGGGCGCGGGGAAAATTCAAAGGCGAACTTGAGAAAATACTCAAAGAGAGTGGAGAATTTCATAGCGAGAAGGGGAAAAAAATCGAGTATGTGGCAGCGGAAAATCAATTGAAACACAGAAAAGAACTCGGAGAAAAGATTTTAAGGTGGATTTCGAACATTTTCCCCATAAATCTCCCTATATATTTTTTTGCTCCTCTGAGTCTCTCCTTAAAGAGCTGCCAGACATGGAACCACGTTGCCAGATTAAAGGGAAAACATTACAAAATGATACATAACTCTGCCGGAGATTATCTGGGGCACACTTTCACACCTTTTGTAGCTTTCGCTTTCGTCCCAGATAAGCAGCTAAGACACACACACACAACGTACTCTGCATGTTATCTCTGTGGCAATGAGTTTCCTGTGCCTCCCCCCCCTTTCCACTCTCCACCTGGCTACAGTTATTCGTTCACACCTGCACCTCAGTCCGTCCGGCCATTACTTCGTTTCCCCAAATTAAATAACCATCTGTAGTCCAGAATTCCGGGTGCTCCAGCTCTTGTTTCGCCTCTTCTACTGTTCCCTGCCACTTCTATTCCTCCTCCTGTGGGGGTTCGTCCTCTCATAAGTTATGGGGCTTTTTGCAAAGGTCCTCCTCTGTGTTTGTTTATGTGTTGGGAAGGTAGAAAATTAGATTTCGCCAAACAACAGGTTTCCATTATGTTTCCCCTCTCTGTCTCTCTGGGATCCCCTTGCATGCATACTTCAGCTTCCTCTACATTTCCCATTCCCCTTTCCTTATCCCCTTTATTTTGCAGTCATTTTGTTGTGCATTCTACTTCAGTCTTCCATTCCGTAATTCCATTTGGTCATAAAATATTTCTAGGGATTATACGTTTCCATTCCAGTGTGTTCCAGTGTTTTATGTTCCCAATACTATGTTTAACTATTCCCTTCCATTGTGTTCCAAGTGTTCCATTCCTCTATAGTCCAGGGCCATGATTTGCATTCGATTATTTTCCATATTTAATTTATTTTCCATAAGGTATATTTAATGTTTTATTCCATTCCGTTCCATTCCCTGCCTCTAAATTGGAGGGCGGCCTGTGCTTTTTGGGTCGAGAGTCGAGTGGCAGCAATAGGCACAGCATAAATAATCAGGCAACCTGTACCTGTGCTGTCCTCCTGCCATCCTTCTCCTTCGCCTCTATGGTGGCAATCTGCTGCAGGAAGGGGAAGGCTGGGTGGTGGTGGTAGGTGGCAGGAGTTGCCACTCGTCACTCACCCATTTCGCCATTTGCCATTCATGCGTCGTTCGCATCGTCGTCCTCGTCCTCGTCCTGGTCTCTCTCAGACATCATTCATACAAATGTCGGAGAGCCTCCTTCTACACGTTTCCTGTGCTGCTCCTCTCGTGTTCTGTCCCTCTAGTTTTCTTCTCCCTATCCTCGCCCCTTCTCTGGTTTCTCCTCCTCCTAATCCTCATGCTACTCTTGGCTTTTATTATTTATGTTACTCATTCGACTCGTATCCTGCTTGTTGATTGCTTTGCCTACACGTGTAGTTTTCTCCTCTGTTACGCAGACTAGAATGTCTGCTGCTGCTGCTGTTGCTTTTCCATGATTTTCCATGATTTTCCTTGCCTTTCCTTATTTACCAATTCTTGTGGCCCCCTTTTCAGTGGCCTCCACTCACTCTTCACTCCACTTTTTCTCCTTCTGCTTCTCCTTTTCCACCTCCTTATGAAGGGAGTGGCTGTTGGAGGGATTCGCCACGTTTCGCTTGTCGCGTAATATTATGAATGGCAGCTCATGCATTGTATCCACTTTATGCTACTTCCTCCTGCCACTGCTGCTGCTCCTATGGAAATATGAAGAAAATTGTGGCCGCCCTCTCACCTTTAACACGCTTTCTGGGGGCTAAAGGGAAGCCACTCGCACGGCTAGTAGTGAACGAAAGAGAGGAGTGGGAATGCCCGTAAAAGTGTCAATGTGTGAGCGCCCAACAACCCCACGCTTCAAATTTGTGTGTGTGTGTTGGAGTGTGTTTATATTAGAAGAATTGCCTGTAAGTCCTCTCCTTTTTGGCCAAAAACAAAATGTGGCTAAATTGCGTTCAAGAAAACGGTCGAATAGAGGTAGAATAAAGTAGCGCACATAAGAGTAACACATGAGGGGAAAAGCCAGAGAAAAGCGATAGGGAGAGAGAGAGTGAGGGTGAGGGTGCTTGTCAGAGGGTGAATGGGCATGGCAGGACATGTATGAAAGGTGATATTACTTAAATCTTTGCATTTAGTTTCCTGGAATTAAGTTAGATACTTCATGCCTTCAAGCTAAGACCGACGAATTCCCTCCCCTACTTTTGCTTTTTATTATGCACCGTCCCTGGGGTACTAATATATTGAGGTCGATTTGTTTTGGCTGAAATGTTGAAAGGTGGACAACAAATTTACTTCCTCGTACTTTATTTGTTCTCTTTTCTTATCCCACTCCTCTCTCTTTCTGCCTCTCTTCACCTCTCCCATTGCCCACAATCTTGTTAAATATGACAATATTTATTTATTTATTATTTACACTGCCATCGGGCCTGCCCTGCCCCTCGCCAAACATCAACAGAAAGGCCCCCAATGGAACTCAAAGTCCCCCACTGACTGCGGGTCATTATTCCGTTTGATTCGTCCGTTTGTGGAGGCTCTACTGTAATCTATCAGCGATATTGCAGCCAGGCTGTTTCTTGAGGTTTAAATATTTAAATCTGAAACTTATTGTGTTTTTCTTTCGGTGCAGCAGCAGGAGGAACAGGGTAGAGGTTGTGAAGCAGAGAAGCAGAATAAAGCGAATAAGAATTCGCAGCTAACAAAGGAAATTAAAATTAAGGCAATTAATTAATTAATTAAGGTAAAAATGAAATTCATTAAACGAGCATTTCCAACAGAAATATGTTTAAAAGACGATATGTTCGAAGTTATTTTGTATTAAAGACCAAGGAAAGTTCTGAAAGAAAACATGCAATTTGTTGGTTTCTTTTTTTTTCTCTTTTTTAATTGTTAGATATTTCTGCATCAGAGCATAGATTTAGCTTCATTTTCATTTCAAACAACTGTTAGAAGGAGCACAAAAGAGATGTAAACCAAAGCCCTCCACAAGCATCTCTACCCCCATTGACTCCGTCGATTTGCATTTCACATTCAACTTCTGACACGAAAATTCCACTTTGTAATTAAGGAAACTTGATTGAACACGTTCCTGCATGGAAAATGCAGATTTCTCCCAAGCATTTTCCTTCGAATCTGATCCACATGATGCACTTTACACAATCAAAAGATATATATGTACTATATATAGATCGTATGAGTAGGAGAGGATTGAAAGGTCGAATCCCATACCCGTCTCTGATTCAATTTGCAATTCGAATATATTTGTTGCTCTTGTGGCATGTTCCCCCTTTGCTGCATAAATGAAAACTAATTCGTGAAAATGTTTTTCATGTTTTCACCCATTTTCCTTTTCAGTGGCGTATGTCAGCGGATGGTGGATAATATCGAATCATATTGAAAAGCCGAGGAATTTCGTGGAGAAAAGATGAAAAAAACAAGCGAAAATAACAGCACGAACACGAAACAGCGGCCAGAGGATCCTGCATTGGGGAACAACTTATGAAAAACACTGGAAAATACACAACGCAACAAAAGGAAAATTGATTGAAAAACAAACGAAAGAAAAGCATAAGTACAGTGAAAAGCAACAATCCAAAAAGGAATAACAAAAAGGAGTACAAGAGGAGTCCATCGAAACAAAAGTTTGGAAAGCAGAAAAAATACACCTGGAAAATGGTTAGTTTTTCCACTGCACGGCAGCTGCCGCTTGGACTCTGCCTAGTTGTGGCCACCGTCTCTCTGATACTCTTCCAGGATGCGGTCCAGGCCGAACAACATCCGGCAAGCGCCGATGAAGGTAAGTGCTGAACAGAGTTTTACCGCTCTTTTTTATCACCCACATTCATATTTTCACATGGGTGTAAAATATCATTACTTATAGATAAATAAATGTAGATTTGACAATTAATATGAAAACAATTAATCGTTGGGCTTCGCTGAATCCTGACTTTCCAGCTCTGAATTCCAATTAAAGAATTTAATGAAATTAAACTTTTCAAGCAGAAATGAAAGGATCAAATATTCCACCTCTCCTTCAATACATCAAGGGGTTTTTAATGACATTTCATGGACACACAAAACGGAAATTAGACAGCAATGTCAATGGGTTTGTTGTTTCGTTTGTTTGTTGTGTGGCCGGCCTATCCCGACGAATCCCATTCCAACCTCAACCGAACCGAACCGAATCTCAAACTATGATTATGTTTAGTTTTTTTTGGTATTCTTTTTCGGTGGTTCCATTAGGTAAACGAAGGCGTAACCTCTCCAGGGCCAAACATCTGGCATCTGGGTTGCACCCGAAATAAATACATACACATTCACTTGGTCATTCAGTCAGTCATTCATTCACTCGAATTCGGGGTTAATTGCAAAGGGAAATGGAAAACAGTGAAATGCTGCTTCAATTTTTTGACTCGGGATGTATTGAAAGCTGGAAAATAACAGAGGGAAAAAGGTGAAAATGTCAATGTTACTGCTGATTACAAACATTGAAAAATGGTTTTCTAATTCAGGGAAAAATTGAACAATGGTGGTTGTTTGATTTTGTTATGTAAAATATTGTTAGGGATTTAAGGATTTGGCTTTAAGTTTAGATTTGTTTTAGCCATTAAAATGTGGCTAAAAGATAACTTGTCACATTTCAACCCTGCTAAAAATTGCATATTAATTATTTTTAATTTTCTTTTTACTCTCGCGTACTTGCCCATAAAATTTCAGCATGTGGTAATGAATGTCACAGTTGAGGGAACTCCTCCCCACCGTCACAGCCGCCGCCTCGTCACACCCTGACCCCTCGTCACTTGTGCAGGCACTCCCCCACTTCTAGCACTCTCTCTCTCCCCTTAACATCCAATCATCATTATTGTCGTTGTCGCGCAGCCCGAAAATGTGATTTAAATTCGATTATTCTCAATTATTTTGTTACATTCAATTCTTTTCTCTGTTTTCGAAGTACGACCCTCTACCCTGCCGCCACCCCTACCTCCTGTTACCACTATCCTATATATAAAAACAGTTTTTCCGTAATAATTTCAGTTCATGTTTTTATTGGTTCACTTGAGTGGATTCGGTCTGAGACTCTGCCTCACATCTCATCCCCCTTCGCGTGTCCCCGGCGTAGAGAGCAACGCGAGGCTGCATTTGTTTGATTGAAATTGATTTTGTCCGCCTGCTGTGGGGGGATCAGTCCCCGTCCCAAAGGCAGAGTCAGAGTCAGGGACCGACCGTATTCCAGTGTCGTATATAACATTTTTTTCAAGTACTTGTGCCGCTCTTCCGCTCCCCCCGTTCAGCCCACTTGACTCTGTAATAAAGATTAAATTCCCTTCTCAGTGGGAGAATCGAGCATGTTCCCCTTATTGCCAGGAGTGGAAGGAGCAGCACTGGTCTCTCATTGCCATGGCGTAGGAAATCTCTTACTTGCTAAGTGCTTTCAGATGCTGCTGCTGTTGCCTTTCAAGGGTAATCCTCTTTGTAATCCTCCCCTTTTAAAGTACATCCATGGGTGAATGCCAATCCATAAGATGTGACTTATTTATAACACCATTTCGAATGATTACAATCTTAATTGTAGGAGAGACAGAATGCACTTGCTCAAAGGAATCGAATCTTTAAAGAGACTCTCTCTATACAGAGGTTCACACATGTCCCACGCACTCACACACACACACACACACACTATTCTGCCTCTTCCTCACTCACTCTGCTACTGTTAAAAAAAAGGGTCGAATCCTTAACGAGGCGAGTTCCTATATCTAATCAAATATTCAACGGATAAACGGGAAACCCGTGATTTCATGGCTGCGATAAGCAAATATCTGCCATTCCACGAACAAATTACTTGTTAACAAGTGCATTTTAATGTTTCAACGTTTTTGGCCAAATTGTGGCAATGCCACATGTCTGTATATACAAACATACATATGTACGAGTATGTATGTGCCACAGGGTGGTGGCACAGGGGTTGCTTGTGTCCCATCGAGTGGCCACAACTGGAATTCATGTGTGTGGCTTATGGCATGAGCAACAAAAAAAAAAAACCATCCAAAAACAAGCCTACAAATGACTGCCCCACTCCACCCTCCGTCTTTCTCACTCTCCTCTCTCTGTTGGCCAATTGGCATGGAAAATTGTGAAATGGTTTTTGTGCTTTGTGTTTTTTGTGGCCCTTTTTCCTGCCACTAGCAGCACTGCCTCTGCCTTTGGCTCAGTTTCAATGTAATTTGAACATGCAAACCGTTTGACGGCGAGACTTTTGGCCAACAGAGAGATTGCTGCGGTAGTTAGTAGATGTAGATATGAGTGGGGTTAGAAGTAGATCTATGGATTAGAATTATGCCCAAAAAAGAATTATGTAGTAGGTACATTATTATACAACACATTGATTGTAGGTGGAGGATTTGAGGATTTCACATCGTTAGGGATATTTTCTCGTAGAAGAAAACTGCACTAAAACCCCATAGAAAATAGATTTTTATGCTGCCGTAACATGGATTAAATTCGTTTTGATTTTCCGTCTAATTTGGAAATGAAATTTGCATTCAATTTGAGCACACAATTTTCCACACAGATTAAAGTGTTAATTTTCCATTTCCAATCTAATTAAATGAATTTTTCCAATTTTCAAATGAAAGAATGGAAGGCCGGCCACCCCCCTGTATGTAGAGGGTGGGAAGGTACAAACAGACATCGATACCAAAAAAAAAAGGTCAAAAGTGCTTTGAATAAATTATAATCCGGAAAAAAAAGTAAATAAATGGTTCGAGCAGGAGAGGCGGTGAAGGGGGGAATAAAAACAAATCGTGAAGAGGTCTGCCGGTCCGGTCGCAGATGTTTTGACGCAGAAATAATCCATTAATTCAATAAATGTATTTCTGGGGATTTTTTGTCTGTTTGCCTCTTCCTCCCCTTGCCACAGCCAACATCCATTCCCCTTTCTTTTTTTTATGTTTGAAAGTCAAATATTTGCACAATAATTTGTGGAAAAATGAAGGAGCCAGGAATGGAGGGGGCCATTCGTATTCCTATCCGTATCCGTATTCCAAATCCGTGGGGCAGCATCTGTTGATGAAATCAAAACCAATGCCCAAAATACCCCGCTGCCAGCAGGCAGTCAGACAGAGGCTAAGCGTTCGGGCAAATACTCCTACGTACGGGTCCTTTTTTCCTATCATTCGGAAAACATCCTGGAATGGCCCGTTGCTCATTTTAATCTTTGATTTTTCCCCGAATATATTGGCAGAAACAGAACACGAAGGGGGGCAGGAGCTAAGCACACAAACATGAAAGCTGCAGGAAAAACATGGAAAATACTTGAAAAATTACTCACCCGCAACGCAGACGCTACGGGGGCAAAGCAGCAGCGCAGCATTTCGGAATGAATGAAAATGTGTGTGCGGAAAATCCAGGAAAATATACCATCTATTTTTTTTAAAGCAAACACACATATGCACCGCAGCCGTAGGGGTAACAGGAGGCAACAGGAGGCGGCAGCAAAGGCCGCAGAAGGCACGAATCAATGGGCTCAAAACATTAAACCGCTCGAGTTTTCATGTTATCCACCAACCCCCGCCATCGCCATTTTTCCAGATGTAAAAGGGGTCCCAGGTCTACCCGTCCTGCCTCCCTCATTCACCGATGGATGCATTTTCCGATGCTGATTCCTATATTTGCTCGAGATTTTTCCTGCTTGTGGAGTGTGTGGGGTGGCATGTGTGGAGTGTGGCGGAGGCGATTGGCGGCTGCCTTTTCGATTTGTAAATTGGCACTCAATGAATCAATGAATTTCGCCTCGATTTCGATTTCGTTTTAGTTTTTATTATTTTTTCTATGGCCGCCATAAAGAGAGCGCGAGGGTAGAATGAAAAGTACTCTCTGTAAACAGAGAGAGAGAGAGATATGTTTGGTTTGAGTGGTTTTTCTGTGTGTCTTTTGATAGCTCCTTTGCTTGAATCCTTCTATGAAATCTATCAATTATATTAATTTTCATTCTTCAGTTTATCTACATATATATGTATATTACCCTTACCTATTCCAACCAAAACTTAGTTTTCGATCCTTTTTCTACATATGTACATATACTTTTGGCCTGTATAGACCGTACCCTACCCCGTAATTTTCTAGCCGAGTGGAATGCTCTCTCATATTTTGTGTTTGTGGAGATTTTTACCGACATTTTTTTGGCATTCGCTTATAATGTACTTGACCCAGTCATTTTGGGAGGGAGAGGAGCTACTAGAACTAGTCTCTGTGGCCTGCCACCCATCCATCTGGTGGTAGGAGAGAAGCGGGGACTAGCCTCTGCCACAATAAACTGGTAAAAGTGCAGTCTCTGTCTCTGTGTGTGTCCCTTTCTCTCTCTCTCTCGCCATCTGTGCCTTCGGTTTGTCTGTGGCCCTGACTGTGGATTTGTGAGAAGTGTCCTTCTCTCCTATATCTTTAGTTCGTTTTCTGTACAGGGAAGGCGTGCGGTGTGTTTGTGTGGCATGCTCCATTTATGCTCAGATATACGGAATTATGCTGAAATCACGTTTCCACACTGCAGGGTATGGGAATGGTGGGGGAGAAACAGCAGGAGGAATGTCTGCCACACACACACACACTTACACTGAAGGTAGGGTGTGTGGGGGGGACGGGGGAGTGACCTAGGAGTGAGAGTGGGTTAGTGGATAAGAGCTTCCACTTTCCGCGCTCTGCTGCATATGAAAAATCTGTGCAAAGGAGCCTTAAAGAAAAGTGCTTCCTGCATAAGCGATTTTCCGCTTTCCCTCATTCTATCTCCCTCTCATTCTCTCGCGT